AAAAAAAAAAAAAAAAAAAAAGAGTAAAACAAGAGCCTATAGGATCTAGAAATGCCCCTTACATCTGTCATCTGAAAAGAAAACATCTGGTGTTGCCGTCTGGAAAGAAAAGAATGACCCATCCTGAAATCTACATTTCTGCATGACCATGACGATTGACATGGAGCATGTCGGGAAGTGGGGGTGATGGGGAGGGCAGTGAAGGCTACTGTTTGTTGAGTGCCCACTGGGTACCAGACACAGCGTTAGTACTCATTATCTCCCTGAATCTACAGAATGACCCTGGGAGGTAGGTATTATTATCCTCCTTTCCCAGATGAAGAAACTGAGGCTCAGAGGGTGCCCCTCAAGCTCACAGGGCTGGCAAAGGACAGGCTCTGTCCTGCCAGGCGGCCTTTTGGCCATTGTCATTTCACTGCTGTCCATCGGCAACCCTTAAGTAGGAAACCTTAAGGGCGAGACATGTTGTCTTGGAATGTATACTGGGAAGTTGTTCTCCACTGTGGCCCTAAAGTTCTTGGAAAAAGACTTAAATCTCTGGGTTCTTTTAAAGCCGCGTGAATGTACTGAACAGTACGGTGAGCAAGCTGAGAGTGTACCCCAATCACCTGGAGGAGGTGGTGGAAGAGAGGATCAACTAGTTGATGGCCGAGAAGAGGAAAGTGGATCAACTGCTGTGTACAATGCTGCCCAGGTATTCCACAAAGTAGCAGGGGCCTTGACAAAAGAACCAGGAAGCAACACCATCGCTATTTAAGGAGACCTCACATGGAGAGACTCTTTCCTATGTTCTTTTCCTAAGAGAATGTTAGTCTCTTCTAAAATGCGTCAAGCATTCTGTGTGTAATTTGGTACACCTTGTAAAGGGAGATAGAGGCAAGGCCCTGGAATCCACAGGAATTAGAGAATGCAGGTCTGTAAAAGATGGAATATAGGGGATGCAGCAAGAGGAAGGGACCACTAGATGGCGCTCTAGTTTCAGGAGTCCAATTAATTACTACCCTCAGCGTATTCAGATTTTACCTCTGCCCAAATGCTTTGCACAGTACAATAGGCACCAATAACTTCAGATTCAAAACTTGCTTATTTTGGGCTCTGTTATCACCTGTGCACTCTCTAAACACTTAGAAGAGCATCTGCTGTTAAAATTCCAGCACCTTCTTATGTGTCTTGACAAAGAAATGGGGTTGGGGATTTGAATGTGTCAGTGTGAGATTGATTGATAGAAGCAGAAATGTTAATTTGTGGATCGATGAATGTTTACATTTGCTTCCACATCTGCAGACTGAGTCGTTAAAATCAAATTCTATGACCAATTGAGGCAAATGAAATTCCCTCAGGGAGAAAATCTTTTTGAAAAGGCATTTATGTGAACTGCTTCTCACCCCTCCCTGAATTTATACCCACCAATTCAAATATCTCTTTAGAGAAAATGCAGGCAGAGAAATGGGTGTCAAAAGAATCCCTCTAGATGATGGATTTTTGTGACCCCAAAATCTAACCCACCGAAGAAAAAGATCTACCAGGGAGACTTTGTAGGGGTCTATAGGAGACAAGATGAACGATACTGTTCAAAAACGATCCTATTCTCTGGTTTCAGCTTCATTGGAGAACAGCTCATAGCTGGAAGAGCCGTGGAACCAGAGCATTTTCAGTCCATGACAATCTTTTCTCTGACATTGTTGGATTCACAAAACTCTGTTCTCTCAGCTCCCTGCTGCAACTTGTGCAGCTCCTTAAGGACCTGTACAGTTTATTCGATCACATCATTAAAACTTATGATGTGTATAAGGTGAGACACCTGGTTCCTGGGTTGTGGAGACACACACGACCCTTGTAGGCTGTCTCCGGGCATGAGTGAGGATTAATCCAGCCCTAGACCTCAGCCAGGAGGAAGGTTCTATTTCAGGCTGGCAGTCTATCTCAATTCATGGCAGAAACTCAATATTTGATTCCTGTTTGTTTTCTTGGAAAAGGGCTTGATTCATCACAGATGTAGGTGCTTGTCAAGAATCATCAGTTGTTCCCTCTGTTTCCTTCCATTATTTTATCTCACAGTAAACACATTTCTAAAACAGGCATTGACCTTCTTCTGGCTAATTCCTCCAGTTCCCTCCTGAATATATTTTTTCCACATTCAGAGAGGCTCACATTTACTCTCCTTTAAAGACTGTCTTTGGATCTGTCGTGAGTCTCACTTCTGTTACTGTGCCCTTAGCAATTCAGGTGAAGATAGACCCCCAAGCTTAGACTATCAGACTCACGGCTAAAGGTCAGACAGCAACCACCCGCCTAGTGCTACACCGGGGATGTATGAACAGGGTCACCTAGAGTGAAAAATGAATCTTGCAGGGGAGGAGAGCAACATAATAATTTGGCTTCATTCACTGGTGGTGATGATGAGGCCACTTTGTGTGCCTTCTGGCTGTTCAGATGGGGCCAGATCATGACTCCAAGGTGCCCATGTTCACATGCACCTGGTGGGCAGCCACTAGTTTACCAGCTCTGACCATGATTGCAGGGCTCTGCCTGTGGTCCTGGAATCAGGAAGACTTGGGACAGTGCAATCATGTCCCCTGGCAACACATCCTCAATGGTTATCCCCCCAAATTCCCCAAAGATGTTGCCTCTGGTCAAGAGCAGAAGGAAAGATGGTACAGGTAATCACAAAGAGCAGATCACATTCACCCAACAAAAATGGAAGCTGCTCTGCTTAGACGAGCCTCCTCTGGGATTTCCTCTTACTGTTTTCTTCTTAGCTACGTTTTGCATGAACTAATGCTAAAATCAGTTTATATTGCTAAGGGATGTGCCCATGGTGGGGAGAGGTAGCCTAGAAGCAGTTAGACTTGTGTACTTGTTGGCTTTGGGTAATTTTAGGGTCACCAGGAAGCAGACGTGGTCTTATTGCCTGGCTAAGGCCTGAAATTCCACATTTTCCACATCATCTTTGGATTCTGCTGAAAAGCAAACGTATCTGGAAGGGGCTGTAACTTTATGCTTACACTTGTCATTTATTCTCTGTGGTGAATGAAGGATCTGAAAGATGATTTTATTAGGAGGATTGGGGAAAAAGAGGACAGATCAGGCAGGTACATACATTTATACATATTTTGTATAATATAAGCATATGTGTAATTGGATCTAAGAGCCCTTGTGTGGAGTGAAGACAGTTCAGCTTGGATAAGATGGATTGCACTCGATGGACCCGTGTGATCCTTCAAGATCTACTCCATCAGTATATTGCTGCCTGTCTAACTGGTTTTGAACTAGGGTTGGGGAAGTATAATCACCAGCACTCTCAGATTTCAGAGAAGAAAGCAGAGACTGTGGGGAAGAGGGTGAGGGAAGGAAGGCTTTGTAGGAGCCAGGACAAGAGTAGGAACTCGAGGAAATGCTGGGACTTGGATGGAATGAAGGTCAGGGAGTATGACCCTTCAAAGGCTGTGGCCTCAAACAGGATCAGTAATGAGGGGCCTTGTCTCTGACCCCACCATCACCCCCAGCCTCCCTCACGATGAACACAAGGCCACTTTCTTGCTTTATTTTCGGGTTGAAACCATTGGAGATGCATACATGGTGGCTAGCGGACTTCCCGTCCGGAATGGTACCCAACACGTGGACGAGATTGCCACGATGTCCTGGCACTTCCTCAGTGCCACCATCCGCTTCCCGATTGGGCACATGCCTGAGGAGAAGGTTAAGCTCTGGACTGGCCTCCACACCGGTAGACAGCACTAAGGGCAGGTGGCCTTGTGGTCCAGACACAGCAGCAGGTAGTTCTAAATTCACATCTTAGGTCTGAGGCTTAATTTAGGAACCCTGAGAGCAAATGGTAGCATCTTCAGGGGAAAGAAAAGATTGAATTCTCTTTGCATGTGTATTTCTAGTTAGTCAGATTGCTTGGTAAGAAGGACAAACAAAGACTCCAAGGTGTTGAACCCAAATTAGGAGGAGCCCCCGAACCAGGACATTTATTTGGGCTGCTTTCCCTCCATCCTCTGCATCAAATGCCCTTTGATATGTTCTGTTTTTGTCAAACTCATGGGCTTGTGATTTGTGCAGAAGTGACCTGTACTTGGTTTAATGCCATTCTGTTACTGTCTTGAAATGCTTGATAATTTTTGAGTGGAAGATCCCTTATTGTCATTTGAGACCGGGCCCTGCAAACGATGTAGCCAGACCTGCTCTTACTTATCCTCCACAGCTTAACTGAAATAAAACCTGACTCCTAACCAGGATGAATTACTCCCGTGTTTGTGCCACTGATGCTCTGTTTACATCTCCAGTGCATGAATAACACTGTCATTAATTTCTGTCTTAGTCAGTTTGGTTGTTATAACAAACTACCATAGACTGGGTGGCTTAAACAGCCCACATTTATGACAGTTCTGGGGGCTGGAAAGCCTAAGGTCAGGATTCTACCATGGGGGATTCTGGGGAAGCCCTCTTCCCAGCTTGCAGAGGGCTGCCCTCTGGCTACGTCCTCACGGTGCAGGAAGAGAGACAGCTCTCATGTCTCTTTCTCTTCTTATAAGGGCACTGGTCCCATCATAAGAGCCTTCCCTCTCACGACCTCCTCTAAACCTAATTACCACCTAAAGGCCCCACCTCCTCATCATATTGAGGTCAGAGCTTCAGCATGTGAATTGGGGTGGGACACACAAACATTCAATCCATAACAGTTGATTATGTTGCTTTCCACCAAAAGTCTGTGGGTTCTGTAGTTTGCCTCATTGTAAACCCTGAGGTCTATTTCCAGGCTTTGCCCCCAGAGGCTACTTCACGATTATTTATTGACTTGCTTTTGTTGACCTGATTTGCACTGTGGAGTCCCACACTTGGGAAATGCAGACTGGTCATGCGCCTCTGTCCTTCCCTTTGCAGGTCCCATGGTGGCTGGCGTGGTAGGAATCACCAGGCCCAGATACTGTCTGTTTGGAGACTCTGTGAACATGGCCTCCAGAATGGAAAGTAGCAGTTTGCGTGGGTATCGTTTACAGCACTTTGCAAACACACGATCGCTGTCCCTCCCGTCCCCTATCTTTAACCAGAGAGTATTTTTAGAAGACCCATTTGCATTTTGTCTACTCTTTTCCATCTGGAGGATAAGATCATTATCCAATTCAGACAACACTGGTCACAAGCTTTGAAGATGGGTTTTTGCACTGTGTTCTCAATGGAGCCGTGTAAACACACATGACATCTCCTTCCAAGACTTTCCATCCTAAACAGTCAGGTACGCATATAGTAAGATCATTTAAATAAGGAGCAGCAGTTGGCAGACTTTTTCTAAACGGGGCCAGACAGTAAATATTTTAGGCTTTGGGGGCTATAGTCTCTGCTGCAACTATGTAACTGCTGTTGTTGTGTGAAAGCAGCAATTTGCAACATGTAAAAATATTGGGTGTGTTTATGTTCCAATAAAACTTTATTTTGCAAACACAGGTGGTGGGCAGGATTTGGCTTGTAGGTAGTAATGTGCCAATCCTGCTGTATAGTTTTGGCGATGCCGAAGAAATCTATGGCCAGGAACTCCTGGGGACATCAAATTCTTTTGCATTACAATAATTTTATTGTATTGATTATTGCTAGACACATATATGCCATTTATCAGCTGAGACATTTATCAGCTGGAAAAAATAATTACTCAGTGATTTAAGTTTTGAAAAGTTTAGGTTAACATTCTTTTGAATTTGTAAATCTTCCACAGTATATAAAAACACACAAGAAATCTTTTCCCCTCTGATTACTTTGTTGTCTAAGTTAATCAACTGAGTCTCAAATCCAGATTTAAACGTCTCTCTTAGCTTGTAAGTAAAGAGTTCAAGGACAAAATATGAAATTGGAAATGCTGATGTAGACTCCACACCTGACTTTAGCTGCAGTTCTGGTTACAAAGGACATTTTCTGTGGTACATCCCAGCTCTGGTACTGTCCCAGGGAGCCTGAGGACCCCAGCTGCCCTCATCCATCAGGAACACCAACTTGCGTATGGGCTCCGTTCCGTCTTCTGTTTCTAAACCGAATGTGTTAAAGCTTGAGCAACTCCCAGCAGCATCTGTGCAATGCCCGGATGGTTGGTGATACCAGTCCACGTGTCCTAGACGTGAGAGAGGTTGTCTGTGATTTGTTTAGTGAGAGGTGCTAGCAGTCCAAGAACTTGAGCCATGTGTGTAGTGTTCCCTCCCCACAGCAGCCCTTGCCCCGCTGACATCCATATGAAATTCACAACCAAGGTGATGACTAGGCTAAAACTGGTTTCTGGCAGCTCTCCGGATTCAGGTCTCTCAGAGTACTGCAGGCGCCCTGCTGGCGTTGGGAGGGTGTGATTTGCAAAAGAGAAAAAGAGAGGCACCATTCCAGTGAAGGTAAGACTGAACGAAATGCGTGCCCACCCCCCCACCCCACCCCATTTCGGTCCCTGAAGGAGATATTGAGGAACTTGATGGGATGAGTGAATCTCCATGCCGTGGTTCGTGGAGACCACTAAGGTCCATGTGGAGGCTCTCATGACGGTGAGGTTATCTTCCTCCAAAGAGGACTGTACAATTCCCTTAAGTGGTCAAACATGGAATCTGTGACTTTGGCTCCAACCTAGACCAACCTCTTGTGTGATGCCTCCTTTCTCTTTGCTACACTGGTCTCCTGGCTTCTGCTTGAACACCCCAGTCTAGTCTCCCACAAAAGCAACAGCAAATATAAGCCCAGGAATTATAATGTCCACATTCTTCTATTTCCCTTCTCCTGAGTCTAAAGTGCCCAGGTGGAGGGGATAGAAGCCCATTGGTTTGGGGGCACTTGGACCTCATCTCTACACATTTAAATATCTCTTCCCTTTCTCTCTGCCTTCCTTTCCATCTTGGCTTCCTGTCCATCACTGAAATGTACCATGATACCTTCTCATCTTTCTGATAAGCATTGCCCTTTCTGGGGGTGGTGGTACTCCTCTTGAGATGTTCTCAGGAGCATCTTGGAGATGCTCACAGTGGGAGTGGGGAGCGGTTACTATGACATTGGGAGTTTGAGTGGGTGTCAGGGTCCAGGGAAAGAAGTGAAAGGAGGAGGTACCTTCAATTCCACAGTTTGCTAAGTCTGGCTCTGGCATGATGTATTTCATCAACGGACTTCAGGTAAGAGGAAGATTTTTCTAGATGTCAGCAGTGTAGACCTAGCTTTGAATCCTGTCCCACTTGTTCCTAGCTGTCTCATTTGTGGGCTTAGTTTTATCGTCTGTAAAATGGGAATGGTGATACTACTGCCCTCAAAAGGTGGCTGTGAGGATTAGTTGTGAACCTGTATGTGAGGTGTTTCACTTGGTGCCCTACTCATAGTAAGAGCTCAAGAGATTTTATTATTATTTTAAAAAGATTTTCTTTGCAACAAACTTTAGCCTCCCCTGGCCCTCACCCCATAGACCATCGTTGACTGTCCATCTAGTCTTATTGGCCAAGTCCAAGGATACGATCACGATTTCATCTATGATGAAGCTTTTCCCTCACCAAGGCAGCTCCCGCCTGATTGCAGTTCTGGCTACAAACAACGTTCTCAAGGGCGACCTGAGTTGTCTGCTGAGAGATCACACTTGACAGGCAACCTCTCCTGCTCTGTGATTCACTAGCTCTCCTTTGCTTCCCACAGGGCAAAGGAGAGCAAACAACCTTCTGGTTGAAGGGCAAAAGGCTTCACGATCCCACTCCCCGACTTTACTGAGGATGAAGCTAAAATCCCAGAGATCTTCTGAGGTGAGTATTTTCTTCAAAATTGTTTGTGTGGTTCCAGGAAAGTCCATGGGGTGTCTTAAATATCCCCTTCAGGGGTTGTAGTTCGGGGTATTAAGTCAGTCTCCCAGTAGGGGGAGCCATCTAGTTGGCCTCCTCCGTCCACCCTGGAGTCCTGTGGCCTAGAGCAAAGGTGGAGTCAGATGAGCTGGATACAGTGAACTCATTTCCTGGGAGACCAGGGCTGCCGCTCCCAGACCAGCCAGCGAGCCTGCCTCCCCGCCAGAGGTTTCCAGCGCAATAGCTTGCGAATTTGCAGTGAGTCCAATTTCATTCTGGGAAAGGGGAAAGCTGGAGGACGAAGCCTGGGGCCAGGGACCTGCCTTTCTCTGCAAAGTGCCTCCTCCCTAACCCTTGGTGTTTATTATATTTATCAGCTAATCGGCCTGCAAGGACGTAGAGGCCCACAGCAGAAGGCATCGCAGGAATGTTTTCAGGGGCTAAAGCTCTAACTGAGGGGTGAATTGCTGAAATCCAACAGGTTCAGGCCGTCCCAGGCAGGCAGCACCCCTGCAGTCAGTGGCTAGAAGGCCTGGCCCTGAGCTCTCACTTCCTGTGAGCACTGCAGCTTCCAAATGGATCATGTCCCATTCTCAATGTATTGCTTAATTTCTTTCTTATCCATTGGCAGGACTCTTCTTCTGCCCAGAGGTGGGCAGCTGAATTCTAGGAACTTCACAGACTCCATTTTCTATGACATGATCCCATTTTCATCTTATTTATTTATTTTTGGCTGCCTTGGGTCTTCACTGCTGTGCGCGGGCTTTCTCTAGTTGCAGCGAGCGGGGGCTACTCTTCATTGAGGTGCGCGGGCTTCTCATTGCGGTGGCTTCTCTTGTTGTGGAGCATGGGCTCTATGGTGTGCGGGCTTCAGTAGTTGTGGTACATGGGCTCAGCAGTTGTGGCTCACAGGCTCTAGAGCGCAGGCTCAGTAGTTGTGGCGCATGGGCTTAGTTCTCCGCGGCATGTGGGATCTTCCCAGACCAGGGCTCGAACCCGTGTCCCCTGCATTGGCAGGCGGATTCTTAACCACTGGACCACCAGGGAAGTCCCAAGGATTGAAAGCTTTCGACTGATCCTCGGAAGGAGGGAAGGTAGAGACATTTATATGAAGGGGACAGGGGAGTTACCTTAGCATGGAGACAGTGGGCCAAAAGTTATCTTCTCATGCCTCATATCTTCTTCCCTTGTTTGGGATCAGGGCTTCTGGGTGCTAAGCACTTTGTTCCATTATGAAAGGGAACAAAGCAACTTCTGCTATGGGGTCTCTTAGAGAGACTGGCCAGTTCCCACCGATCTATCCATCCATCCATCCATCCATCCATCCATCCATCTTTATGAATATTTCATTAATTCAAAGAGCATTTATTGAGTCCTTACTCTGTGCCAGGTACCACACTGGGGGACACAAGAAAATGTGAAACTTTCTATGATCTTTAGTTCTCAGTTTAGCTGGAGAGAGGAAACATAGTAGTAATGCAACATATTGAGGACTAACAGAGGTATGTACAAAAGAGCAGAAGTAACTGAGAAATCCAATACTGTTACATTGAAAGAGAATTAGAAAATAACACACAGACGTAGGGATAGGGTGGGATATGACAATCAACTATCATTATCCCATCTTTGTATCTGTATGCAGTGTGTGTGTTTGTTCCCTTCCAGCCCTAGCCCACGTGCTTACACAGTTATGTTCATATAATAAAAACTTTGTTACTTCTGCCTTTTTCATCAAACATTGTAACATAAACATCTGGCATCCAGTCACACACATGTACATAGAACATATATACACATGTGCCTACATTCACAACACACATGCACATATATACATACACATGTACACGCCTATACATATATACATGCACATATACACATATACTGAGTATATACAGACATCAACCTCTCTATATCTATCTCTACAGCTATAGCTATAGCTGTCTCTATCAATTGGTAGAGATTTATGTGCCTGTGTATACTCAGTATATATGTGTGTATATATCCATGTCTCTCTCTATAGTTTGTTTAAATTACTCAAGTTGAGAGAGAGAGAGAGAGAGAGAGAAGATGTCTTTAGGGTTCATAATTAGGAATTTTGATAAAAGCACTTTCCTAAAATCTATATTCAGGGTTTTTTTCTATGTCAACCAAGGATACCTAAGGGAGAAAGTACCCTTTCCTCCTCTAAATGTCTGTTTTATGTTTAGCACTAATGGGAATTTGCAAGAGAGATTGTTTGGAGAGTGACTTTCTCTTCATTCCTTAGTAGAGAAGTTGTGAAACATGAAACATGCAACCAAACATCATGGGGCTGTTAACTTTGAGTTGAAGCACATGCCGTTGCTGGTGACAGACGTGAGGGCCTTAGAGACAGGGATGACCACAAAAACTATCCCCCCAGACATTAATCATGCAAAATGGCTCTGCCTCCTTGCCTAGAAACACAATACTGGAATTTCTGAAATGCAACTGCAGGATAAAATGATTGAAAGCCTGTGATATATATGTGAATTTAAGAAGCTCTAGTTGTAGAAACCAGTGAGAGGGTTGAAGATCTGGCTACCAACGTGATATATTTACACTGTAAGCTATAGTCACAGGTTATTTATTTTAAGGCATTTTATTTATCCCGTAGCACCACCAAGAGATACAAGATCATTAAACATTATGCTAAAACAAAGCAAAACTAGCACAACTTTGTTTTACTCTGACAGCCAAGGATTTATGATTATGGCTGTGAGTATGCTATTTAAGAGTTTTTGACTAGAACCAATGAAATATGTCTTCTGTCCTTCCTGACTACAAAAATTCTGAATATATAAGAAGAGATCCCAAACTGGTTGGAGGACCAGCTTTGAGACCAGTTTCAGCTACGAGTCATTTTAATCGAGCCTATTGCTAAACATGCGCTCTGTGTCTCCAGAGGTTTGAGAACCAGCTTAATTTCCGAGTTCATTAACATGGTTGTAAGAGAACCATCAAACTACAGATCTCAAAACTTCTCAAATACATTAAATACAGAGATACAAACTGACGTGTTTTCCAATGATAAGCCCGCTAGTTGAGTCTCTACAAGACAAAGAACAGAATTTAAAGCTCAGGCTTTTCCTAGCGCATCTCAGCGTCTAGCTTCAAACCGGGGTCCTCAGTGCGTTTTCAGGGATCCGCCAATGCTCTACCAGGACCGCTTCTTTCCGTTTTTATTTGCTTGACTGTGTAAATCATTACTCTCAACATGTTCTGGATCACTGGGGTGGCAGTGCTCTCAGCATGAGAAACCACGTGATTTCACTGGCCGTTTGTTTTCATTTTATTTGCATTTGTGTTTCCGAGTTTTTGTTGGTTCCATTCGAATGGTCGTAGGTTACTGAGACAAAAAAAGATATGGGCTTGAATGTTGAAGTAAAGGCTAAATGAGGTCAGACCATTCTCTACAAATGAAGATTTCTTAGCAGAGCAGATAGAAATAGTGAGAGCCTTGGGCATCACGAGTAGGATGGGGTTGCCAAGCTGAAGAGACTCTGTCGTGGCAGTCCCTCTGAAGCATGTTACAGGTAGCAGTTTCATTTAGGCAATGCCGCATTATCATGTTCAATGAATGCTAATATGAGTTTTAGTCTTTTTGTAGCCTGAGTCCTATTCAATTTGTAATTTTCTTTCGATCTTAGACGTATATATCAGCTATAAAAATAAGGAGTGTATACGTATATACTGTTTATACATATTTAAGAAAACTTATAATAAAACACCAGTTGGGTTAGCACTCACTGGGGGCTCTCGAGAATCACTTTCCTTTATATTATTCAGGTTTGAGCAAACGAATGTTTTCTACTCTGATTCCCACATCATCATTTGAAATATTAGAACCCCCGCCTGGTGGCTCAGCTCTGGTCCTTAGATAGGAATTGCACAGCCTCAAAGACAAAGGCTCCTTCAGCAAAGTTGGTTGTTCCTGTGCATTCCGTCCTCAGTACTTTAAAGTCCTCAAAATGCTCAGCTGCACTTGGTTGGGTGTGCTAGTCTTTTAAAATTAGAATAGCTTTCAAAGGAGTCCACTGCAGTCTCGACTTGACTATGGGAAAAGGAGACTCCTCCGCCGGCTGCAGGGGAGGGACGGCAGAATCTAAGAGCCACAGGAAGTCACAAGAGGAAGTGGGGCACCGAAGAAAAACAATCGCTGAAATTCACAAAAATCACTGGAACACATATTTGGCAAAGCGCTGTTCTCTGCTTCCCAACAATACGGTCTTCTGTTTGTTCTTTTTGGCAGCACAATAAATGTGAGTTTGTCATTGACAGAGGAGATGGTCTTGGGTGGAGGAACTGCAGCTGCCTGCCTGGCTCTCCCTTATAACACAGCACAAATCCCCAGCATCACGATGAGGTGATAGAGAACATCTGTGGACCAGACAGGAAAGGAGACAAACAGTTCGACAAGGAGTAAGGAGAACGCAACAAAAGAGTCAACTCAACATAAATGAGTCAACTCAGAGACGTTCAGTAGGTTTCCATAAAACTCTGCACATTTTGTACATAGTTTTGTTCGTCCTCTGGGGTTTCCATAGCTCACTTTCATCAGTACGAAGAACCCAACAGATAAGCCTAGGATAGGGACCTCTGACAGATGGGAACCTGAACTTCGATAATACAGTGATGGTGCGTTTCACTGTAGACTCCAGATGGTGCATCTTAGAGTCTCAAACAGTTGGCTTGCATGGTTTCCTGTAATTGTGAGAGCAAATCTTACATCTGTGAGTTTGTTTATAAATAGAACTGCCTGACCCATCTTCTCGTATCATTTGGTGAGACCTTGGGTCTTAGCTGAAATGCTTCTTCCTCTAAGGTGCTTCCCGGACTGCTGTCTAAATCATTATTCGGCCCCACCCACCATACTTCATGCATATTAGGAAGGGCAGGAGCCTTGCCTGCCTTGTTCACTGCAGCAGTCACACCGTCTAGAAAAGTGCCTGGTACAGAGTCAGTAATCACAGCTGATCCTTACTGGTTGTCTGTTGCTTTCTGGGCATTGTTTCGTGCTCTTAGCTGTAATAGTTAATCCACACAACAACTTCTGTGTATGATATGGGCAATTATTAACCCAATTTCACAGAGGAAACTGGGGAATGCAGGAGTGGGGTCATGGCCCAAGGTCACTCAGTTCATGAGGGGCAGGGTCACAGAAGGGACTCAGAAATATTTGTTGAATGAACAGATCATTGAAAATCATGTTTTCTGAACACAGAAACCCAAGAGGCACCACCTGGTGATGTCTTTGCTTAGACTTGGTAGGGGGGTGGGGGAACCAGCTCTGCTTCATCCAGCTTGCCCCCAGCTCCTCCCTCCCTTCAGAGCTCAGGGGCTGGTTGGAGAGAGACCTCTCGACCTCCGATCCCCCCCCAACTCATTCAGGTAAAGGCTTTGCTGGGGCCAAAGGTAAGCCTCTTTTAAAACGCACATCTGCCTGTTAAAAGCATTACCCAGAGCTGTCTCTTTTCCTTACCTGAGAAGCTATAGAGACCGGAGGATCCCCTGCCTGTAGTGAGTAAAGAAAGAATACAGAAGGTTTAAGAAAAGATCACAGAGGGAGAAGTCTCAGAGCTGCGTTCCTAAAACACAAACCTGACTGGATTCTCCCCTGATGAAACCAACCCGCTCCCATTGTCTTTAGCACAAAGTTTCTTGCAGGGTTGACAGAGGCTTCACCTCACACCATTTTCATCTCGGCTGTCTATGGCAGGGGTTGGTAAACTTTCTGCAAAGGGCGGGTGATGGTAAACTTATTCAGCTTCGCAGGCCACTCGGTCTCTATTGCAGCTACTTGATGCTGTCGAAAGTAGCTGGAGACAAGCCCCAAATGAACCAGTGTGGCTATGTCCCAACAAAACTTTCTGTATATACAATGAAGTTTGAATTTCATATAATTTTTGTGTGTTATGAAATATTGTTTCTTTTGATTTTTTTCAACCACATAAAAAGGAAAAACTGCCCTTAGCTTACAGGTCATACAAAATCAGGCAGCAGATGGGGTTGGGCTCCTGACCAGAGTTGGGTGACCATCCCCTAAAGCTCCCAGGCCTTGTCCCCCCCTTGATGTCACGGCACTCTTGAGGTCAGACTTAAAGACGACTCGCAGAGGTCCTCCCTAAGCCTGACTACGCTGAGCTGCCTACCCATCTATTCCCATAGACCCTACCTCTCCCACCCCCACTGACAGTAATTATCTCCCTTTCCCTTAGCATTTAGCATCTCCCTCCTTGCTGGATGGTACATTCTTGAGGACAGGGCCCGTGTGGATCTCCTTTATTTCTGAAACCCCAGGGCCCACCCAGCTCCTTTACTAGTTTTGTTGACGTGCCCTGGACGCCCCAGTACGTTTCATTTTCTATTATTATTATCACCTGCACACTGTGTGGGGAAGCTCAGCACTTCCTAGTCCCTGGGGGGCATTGGAATTGAGGCCACAGACCGAACTTTTCAGGGTAGTTAACAAACCTCCTTGGTCAGGTGTGAGTTACCCACCCCCAAGGTGAGGAGACGCGTTGCAGGTAAAGGTTGTGTCTACAGGCACAACTGGTTTGGCAATTCAGTTAAAATGCTCAAACCGGCCGTGCCTGTGGACGCAGCCCAGCATGAGGGCAACCATTTGGAAAACAGAGAAGCTTACTACGGAGGGAGAGCTCGACGACCAGGACGCCCCCAGTCTGGTCCTGGAGGAGGCGTTTTCGTTTGTCACAAGTCTGGAGACCCAGGAGAAGCCGAGGGGAGAGGTGGGATGAGAAAAAAACACAGGAGAGAAAAGAGATTTTTTTTAAGAAGTCACAAAGTTGACAGAGTCAAAATTCCCCAGGCCTCAGACATTAGTTCCCTTACTGTTTTTATAACCCAGAGCGATGTATTCCATTGCTTCTCCAACTTGAGAAAAGGAAGAAATCTTTCCGTCCTTAACTCTTCAAGCTGGAACAAATCTGCATTGCATGTGGGAGGAACTGACTCCGTTTCTTTTGATGAGAAGTAAGGCTTTTACCCATAGTTACTCTCATCACTGTGATCTGAGACGTGGATACCTGCAAAATGTGTTCTGGTTCCTTTCCTTTTTTAAATGTAGTGCCAATAATAATCCTTTCATGAACAGTTAAATGTTTCTCTACTCCCTTCCCTTTCTCTGTTTGTGCTCGTAAGTGACCACTGTCTGGCTAAATGAATCAACAGAAATAGAGATTATCATCTTATTTCTGTTGGTTACTATAGGCAATGCGAGCAGGTACCCTCTTCAGAAACACTGTGTCCTTCCTCCCTGAGGTCTCCGGTCCAAATAGACTGGAGGAGGTAACAGTTTGGAATTGAACACTTTTAGATCTTCAAAGCAGTGGTTCTCAAACATGCACGCCACTTGAAGAGCTTGTTAAAACACAGATTGCTGGGTCCGCCCAGAGTGTCTGAATCAGGTGGTCTGGGGCCAGGGGGTGGGGTGGGGCACTGAGAATTTGCATCCCTAACAAGTTCCCAGGTAATGCTGAAGCAGTGTGGACCACACTTTGGAACCACTGCTCTGAGGACCAGGTTCACACCTGGTCGCGATGGAAAATTTTCTTCCACCTGAATTCATTACGCATGTTGACTGATTCTGCAGCAACTTCTTGGTGGAGGAAGCGGAGGGGAAACTGACCCTCCTGCATGAGCTACTAAACATGTCTGGGAAGCTGGGCCCTTCCTCTCACGTGGTCGGAACAGCTGTGACCTCATGTCGCGAATTCCTGCAACATCTCTCTTGTCCATCTTAAGTCTCCGAGACGGACGTTCAGGCTGGTAAGTCAAGAGCTAAAAATACCTACCTTCGACTTCCATTCAGAGCCTATTGCTACCAGCTGAATTTTGAATCTCCCTTGTCCTGTTAACTTTTTCAAAGCATCTCCATGTCTGTTGTTGCTTTCATTTTCCCTAACATTGCTCTCTGAAAAGAGAAGGACCGCCATTACTCATCATCACTCTATCTTTAAAGATGAGAAAACCAGGCTCTGGGGTTAAGTGACCTGGGCCAGACCATGTAGCTTGTTTGTGGCAGGGCAGACACGCCTGGAACGTCTGCCCCTACCCTCAGCAGCCTTTCCTCCAGTATGTCCTCACACATATCTACACTGGTCTGTTGACAATTTCCCAGGTAAAAATACAGCTTCTTAAATACCATCCCCTCACCCTCACAGCCTCAGGTAATATTCTCATTCCGGGAAGGGTGGCTCACCACTGGGCAGGAGAGCTTCTCACTGTCACAGATGAAAGTCTCACAGTGTAACCACACCTTGGACAATTTGGGGATGTTCTGGAACCGGAAAGCATTGAATTGGAAGGTTGCCCTGTGGCCTTTCCCATTCTCATACACGATGACTGTTTCATCCGTAGGGCAGCTGGAGCACACGCGGTCGGGGGAGGCAAGGGGGAGAGACAAGGTCATCTCATGAACTCTAGCAAGGGCGTCTGAGGCAAAGTCACGCACGGCCTCCCCTGGGCTGTTACACAGCACATTATCCTTCTGAAGCACTGTGGCAGCACCTCACTTATCCTCATTTCTTTGGGGTCAGTTGGAGGAGCTATGAGACGGCTGTGACCATCCCCATTCTACAGATAGAGTATAGCAAGGGTGGAGCAACTTACGAGAAGCCACACATCTGGAAGTTACCACATCTCTGTCCCCAAGAAATGAAATCCCCCAGACAATGTCCTCTCCTCTGGAGGACTGGGATACGTACAGACTCCCCGCATATGTCCAAAATAAAGATGGTGGTGCTGGGAACGGCATTTCCCAAAGTGCTCTCACAGCCACCTAGGCCCAGGTCACACCCAACATATTGCTGTGTGTGTATTGTGAGGTTTTGCCACCGGGAATTCAAATTTACATTGTACTATTTAAGCGCTATATCTATTCTATTACATAATTACCTTTGTAAAGATATTTTTAATATGAGCACAGAAAAAAATGGCTGGAAGGATACCATTTAAATGTTAACACTGGCTATTATGGACAGTTTCTGTTTTCTTCTTTCATCTTTATGTTGTTGTTGTTTTTTTTTTTAATTCTCTATAATGAGAGTGTAATATTTGGGAAGTTTCAAAGTCCCAAATGTACAACTGCAGTAAAAGAAAAAATAATGACATAGATGGGCATTTGTCGAAACCAATTGTTCTCACCTGGGGGCCGTTTTGCCCCCCAGGGGAAATTTGACATGTGGCTGTCATGACTGGGGGGAAGATACTCCTGACACCTAGAGGGTAGAAACCAGGGATGCTGCAGAATGCCCTGCAGGGAACAGGACAGACCCCACAACAGAGAATGATCCAGCCCCCAAAAGTCAACAGTGTGGAGACTGAGAAAGCCTGGTTTAAGCCCAATACCTTTTCATTTACCAAGCTCATAGGATTCCCTACGTAAGTGCCAGACAGTCAGCCAGGTTGGGAACAGACACAGTGGTTCTCGGGAATGTACAGCGAGACCCACAGAGTGTGAGGGCCTGTATGCAGGTGACAATGAGCTCCAGAACCTGTCCTCTACGGAACAGAGGTCTATGGGTTCAAAAGCTAAAGACCAGTGGACAGCACCTCAGTGGAACCCGAAGTTCATGCCCCGCCTGGCGTGTTTCTCTGACTCTATCGTCCTTCCAACTCAACACACACACTAGGGAGCAGTGCAGTCGCCCCAGGGAAACTTCATGGTGGACCCTCCCCCATCCCAGTCCATCAGAACCAGACATTAGGGGCCAAATCAGAGGTAGGACGGAGGGGATGTTAACTCTGAGAGTGAGTGAAACGAGCCATGAAGACTGCACCTTATATCTGGACCAGGGCCAGAAGCTGGGATCTGTTTGTGGTGGCCTCTGAGTAGTGACAAGAGCTAGGGGTATTTTCTGAGCTGTGAAACAAGACTCTTGAAGGATCATTCGGTCATTAAACCCGAGATCCTTGTACGAACTCAAGACTAAGTCCTTAAAATAGCTCCTGGCTGCTGGAGTGTCCGGGTACGGTGTCAGACAGTGGGAACAATATAAAGCAGAGCTTTGCTGGTGGCAGGAAGGAGGCAAGTGACAGGCTGGCCTAGATGCCTTGGCACTGCTGTCTCTTGGCGCTGGCTGTGGCACCTGTCCCTCCGTGACAGGTATCTCGGGATTGTGGAATGCCCACGGGGAAGCTTTCACACCATCATCACTTCTCCACCTGAGATCAAAATTCCTATTCTAATATCTCCAGGCTTTCTTGAAAACTGGGTTTTCCTTCCAAAGGGCCTGGTGTGAACCAAAACCATCTGGGAGGTTATGGGAGTGGCCTTTCTAATTCTCCCCTTTGACACTGGTCTTCATGCAATTATCTCCAACCTCAAGGGGCCATTTCGGTTAGGCAGTATTTGCAACTAGGTCAGGGTGTCTTTAATTTGGCTGTGCTTAAATGCAGAGTCCCAGGGTTCACCTAGGGACCTTCTGATATTGTAGGTTTACAACGTGTCTGCATGCCTAGCAGATACCCAAAGGAATTCCTGTGCACACTAGAGTTTGAGGACCACTTGTAGTGACTACCCCAAAGCCACAAGCATTCCCTTTTCTGCCATATTACACATCCACTAGGTGTGCAGGGGCACTAGAACTATCTGAGGAGATGATTCCATGGTGTGGCAGAAGGCTTTGCCCTTGTGTGGCTATTGGTTGAGAGAGGTTCCCAGTGCCTCTTGGTAATTTCAAGGTCCCTATAGGTCAGTAATTTATTTCAGAATCTCCCTGAGGTCATTTGATTTGCACCATCATCAACAGAGCCTAAATGAATCATTCAATGACAGATGTGAAATAAGGACCCAAACTAAGCTCCCATCTCTGCAGGAAGATGGGTTGCTTGGGTGTGGGCCTTGCTGGCCTGTCCTACCCTGTGTTATCAAGAGATAACGCTGCCCAGATCATCCATCCCTTTACTAGCTTAGACTCTGGGTAAGTTTCTGAACTTATCTGTGCCTCAGTTTCCTCATGTATAAAATAGTGATTGTTATACTACCTACTCTATAGGAAGTTTAATGAAATTGAAATAAATTAGTATTTGCAAAGCACCTACCTAGAGTAATGCCTGGTATGTTGTAAGGGCTGTATAAGTGTTTGTTAAATAAAAATAGATAAAGATCCAAAGTGGCTTCACCTTTGTTATCTTATCATCTTTGTCCCTGGCGGCAGTGTTTACTCAGCCCTGATGGTTCCAGTGTAACTGGTCTGCTTTGGTTTGGGGAATGGCCTCTTCTGTGATCACTGTTTGTGTGGATGACGCCTGAATCTCTAGTCTAACTCATCCTCATCCTTTTCCAAAGCTACAATTCTAAGTGCTTCTAGACAATTGTCATCTCAAGGTCAATATGTCATCCCTGAACTCAAGGAGAATCCAAACTCCCTTATCCAGAACCCCTCTTCCCTAGGAGCCTATGACAAACAACTTCTCATCTTCACAATTCACAGTGCAGCAGCATTCTTTGTCACATGTTCCTCATTGTGCCCTGTCCTTCCCTCTACCATATCCAATTGGTTGCTAAATTTTTATTGCTTCTCCCTCCCTTGGGTGATGTTGGATGACCTTCTTTCCACTCACTTAGCTACAGCCTTGATTCAGGTCTTATCACTTTCGGCACTAGAGCTGCCACAGCCTCTAATCTGGTCTTTCTACTCCCATGTTCTGTTTCTAACCACCCTGTGTGTGATTTCCAGAATCACATTTCTATACTATAATCCCATTACTTTAGTCCTCTACTCCAAATTTTAAGAACTCCCCGTTACCTATGAAATTATTAGTAAATAAAAACAATGCTATTATTAAAATTGATTGAATACCAGCTAGGTACTATGTACTAAGCTTTTTACATGGATATCTAAGTTAGTTCTCATCAGGGTTCTGATGTCAGATTGATTAGGTTTGACCCCAACCTGCCCACTTCCCCATAAACACACACACACACTAACTATGTGACATTACTTAACCCCTCCTGTGCCTCAGTTTTCTCATCTGGAAAATGGGGATGATAGTAATAATACCTACCTGTTGTAAGGCAAATGAGTTAGTATATGATAAAGCTCTCAGAACAGAACCTGGTACCTAGAAAGCACTATGTTAGTGACTCCTGGTATCAGTACTCAGTCTGGAAGCACAGAGGAAGTCACTGATGTGACCCCAACAGGTTCCGCCTCTTCCTTCCAAGCTGTCCCAAGCCAGAGCAGCCCTGGACCTACCTAGCCCCACCTCTCAGCCCTGTGGTCCCGAGAGCCGTACCTACCCCTTGCTGATTAGCTGCCACTGCAAGGGATACATGAAGTCAGCCGAAGGTGTGGCCCAGCAGCTGTTCAAAACCACTTTAAACCTGGAAATGAAACAAAACTCATCACTGTGAGCTAGGGAGTTGTATGCCTAGAAACTTCGGGTGATTAAAACGCCTCTGGGCTGTTTTTGTTTGGTTTTATTTTTCTCTTCTTTGTATTTATAAATACAAACATTAAGAACACACACTTACCTAATGCTTAACCCTTTGGCTTCTACTCCTGCAAACAGATCTGAACCGATTTCGTATGTCTCCAGGGTAAAAGGCGCTTCCCTCTTAATGGTGAACTTGGCATTCTTTGGAAGGAAATTGACACCGGGCGTTATGATCTGTCAGACTGAGCAGTTGGGTCTGACAGGAGCAGATGAATCGGGACGGGAGGGGGGAGAAACAACCCAAAGGCACAGGCACATGAGACCACAGTGAGACCCGCCGGGACCAGAGAGGCTGTACCTCCTAGGATGCTGGTGCCACCTTAGAAGGGATGAGGACATCACATGTACGTCCAGGAGACTGCGCTACATAGAGACCCAAATCATAGACCGCCGTCCCCAGTGTAGCCAGAGGTGCTTCTCCTGGCCCCATCTCCCGGGAACCAAGAATTGGAATATTGGAATAATACCTCCACTTGCAGGGAAGCTTCCTGATTATGTTACATAGTGGAGCACAGAATCTGCACACTTAATTCAATTTCTGAAGCAAAACGCTTTTAAGGGACAGTTTCTCCACTTCTCACCTGACAGTGAGGCAATACTCCGTGTGATTTCCCCCTACTTTCTTTGTAACGTGAAAATTAGGGACCTATGTCCAGATAGCTTACCCTTTAGTACCCGGACAGTTTATTTTGGCAAATTCTGGGCTCTGCCTTTTAATGGGGGCATTAACCCAGGAAATCATACAGAGAAGAGAGTCACTAGGATGATAATGGACCATCAAGAATGGGACGATGTTTAGTTTGGGGAAGACAAGCTTGAGCCAGTTGAAGGACCATCAGTAACATGTAGTATCGTTTCAGAGGACAGAACCAGGACCAGTGGGCCAGAGTTCGGAATGTCAGATTTCATGACATCAGATTTCACATGCTGACCTAACATGAGAAGGTCCAACTTGCCATTGCCCTTGGAAGAGGTGGGGTACCCATCCCTCAGCAGCCTTGCAGAAGGGTTTTGGGCATTGGGTGGAAGGTCAAGATTAATCACCTCTGAGGTTTGTTCTGACTCTGGAAGTCTATGATTTTGGTCTCTATTGCTTGCCTTCGTTCCATCCCAAGGTTTGGCATTTGTCTCTGTCTAACTAAAAGGAATAGTCAATACCATTTTGATTGAATAGAAGGCAACCTAATCCCACTCTGACATTGATGTTCAGCCCTATAAAGGTAACAGTGCTGGTGCTAGGAGTTCTCAGTTTCCACTTTAAACAAGGTCAAAGCTTACAATTGTGAGAATGACTATCTCCTCGGGCATTTACTTTGCTGCCAGGCACTGTGGGAAGGGTTTTATAAGGATTATTTCATTTAACCCTGATAACAAACCTCTCAGATAAGTGCTGTTATTATCCCCACTTAACAAATGCATAGGTGGAGGCCCAGAGAGGTTAACTAACTTGTCCAAGGTCACACAACTAGTAAATGGTAGAAACTGGCTTCAAACCAGTGGTCTGATGTCAAGGCCTATTTTCTTAACCACAGTGCTAGGCTACTTCTACAAGTTGACTACCTTCCTTTATTTCGGATTGGGAGTCAAAATAACTTTACCGAGAATACCAACCACGGACCGTTGGCAGAATTGAGTGGAAGCGGGTAGAGAGAGAAGAGAGGAAGCATGCTGGGTAGAACTGGTGGTTTTGCAGCCTGGCATTTGGAGCTCTCAGAATCCTAAGCAACTAGCAGAGCATTCATTCTATTGTGCCACGCAGGGCACAGCTCGGTCTCTGGTAATTTGATGGAAATATATGCAGCGAGCAGCTGTTGCTTCAGAGACACACAAGAATGCTCTCAAAGCAGAAGAAGGGAGGAGAAGAAAAATACCAACCTCATGGGTAAGGCACAGGAAACCGAGCCCATTGTGGGAATGTTAATCAGTACCAAAGTCTCGGTTATAACCTCAGAGGACCCTCGTTGCCAAGGTTTGTTTGTCCTATAAGGGTCTTGGTGGGCCCTAGGGAAGGCCTTAGCCTCATTTCTACCAGTTCAAGGAAGCAGTCTGTCTAGCCATCTAGAGGATGGTCTGGGTGATGCTGAGGACATGCTTCCTAATTTTTGTTTTTTCTTAAAAAAGTTATAAGATTTGATATTTCTGTCTGAAACTTAGCTCCGCATAAGTGATGGTGGATGATGACTTTTGACAATCGTGGTGCCTTTCCATTTCCAACTGTTGTAAAACGTTCATAGGGTCATATCTATAATTTTATCTGGTTAAAGCAACAATCATGTATTTCCAGGCAGGGGCTCAGTAGTAAAGACAGCCTGTCATCAGGCTGTCCCCTGAGTCTGTTGTCAATGTGTGAAGCTTATTTTCCTCTCTGGATAACCTTCAGCAGTTACTACAGTGGTTTTGCCATCCTTTCTTCACCCTGGTGATCCACACTGTTTTTAACCCCCCTGATTATAGGTCAAGGGATTGTATGGAATTTCCTTTTCTCAGGACTTAACCACTAGTGGTGTGTAGCCTGGGGCCGATCTAGGTTTTGTGGGACCTTGAAGCTTATTTAGAGAGCCCTCTTTAATTAAAAGAATCAAAACTTTGAATACAAAATTAGACCCAGGGCCTTGAAAAGGGCCTGTGGAAGTGAGGGGTCATGAAACTTAAGCTCCATTCCCTGCATAGTAAGTTTGCCTTGTAGACCAATGTTAGGGGACCTTGTTCCAGACTGGGTACTGCTCTGGACCACCTGTGGGATCTTGGACAGATCATTTCCTCACTGGGTTTCAGATCCTCAGCTATAAAATGGACTAGGTTATTCTAGGTTCCCTTCTAGCTCTCACCTTCTGAGTTCAGCAAGATTAATAGCTTCCAGGGAGCTGGTAAAGCAAGTTCAAAGAGTTCAAGGTCAGTGGAGTTCCAGGTAATATAGTTGTTTCCTTTGCAAAATGAATGGGTTGTACATGGTGACCTCTAAGGCTATCTTCTAATGTTGGAAGTAAAGGTTTCTATTTCTGCCTGCATTTTCCTTTAGCCAGCTGGGCCATTTCCTATACGCATGTCCCCTCACTGGAAGCTGCAGGTCTAAAAAACAGAGCACCCCATCTAAACAGGAGGGCAGCTGGGCTAATGGCCATTGCATATTTAGTTTCTCTGGAGAATTTTATTCTTAGTGCCTTTAGCTTTGATGTCAATGTAGGCAGCATGTCCAAATTAGACAAAGAGGAGGCCCACTAAGTAAAGGGCTTTGGAGACCAAAGAACTAGGCGGCAGCAGCCAACCCCAACCTCTCCCCTTAGCCCTGTCCCAGGTAGAAGCTCACTAGTCTGTGCCGATGTTTTAACAAGAGCTAGATCCTAAATATAAATCTCTGGAGGGGGTTGTGGTGGAAACTGATCTTGATTAAGAATTAGACCTTGGCTGTCTTTATTGCCTATTGACCTTTGATTTCTCTTATCTCAATTTTCTCATCTGTGAAATGGGAAGATTGCCCTTTTTCCTCTGTGGCACCTTTCCTTTCTTCCATCCAGTCTATGAATCTGAATGTCTGCTGCATCTAGTCTTTAAAGAGGCTTAAAGCTAGAACAAAGCTTACGTCTCAGTTCAAATTCAAGAATGGGGGTCTGCATACGGCTTAGAGGAGAACAAATGCTGAGGAAGCATCCCATCATCTCCTAGAAAGGCCCCAGGGTAGCAGTGGAGCCCTGGAGACCACTTACAGTGTAGAAGTTGAGAGACAATTGGCTTTCAAATGTGCCCATGCTCCCGTTCTTCACATGAACAGTGGCCACTCTGAAAAGGGGAGAGAATTTTGCATAAGGACTGAAACATGCCTGGTTGACAGGGACTGCAGAGCACATGCAAGGCAGCCCGCCCTCCGCTCTCTGAGCAGCTTACCTCTGGTCAAAGGCAGCTTGGTTCACCAAGTAGGTGGAGTGGTAGGAGCAGGAGAAAGAGTAGTTCACAGGCTGGTTCTTTACGATCACGGTGCTGTCATTGGAAACAATGTGGTTGTAGAAGTGGTAGATGGGGGGCTTGTACTGGAGAAAGAAAGAAGGCGGTTAGGGTGGCCCTGTACCCCCATGATGTGAATGAGGCCTCTTGGATAAATGACTGAAGATGGTTCAGAAAAAAGCCCAGGGCTTCCCTGGTGGCACAGTGCCTGCCGATGCAGAGGACACGGGTTCATGCCCCGGTCCGGGAAGGTCCCACATGTCGCGGAGCGGCTGGGCCCATGAACCATGGCCGCTGAGCCTGCGCGTCCGGAGCCTGTGCTCCGCAACAGAAGAGGCCACAACAGTGAGAGGGCCGCGTACTGCAAAAAAAAAAAAAAGAAAAAAAAGAAAAATGCCCAATGGGGAGACATGAATGTCTGCCATTGATATAGCACCCACTCTTGTTTGTAGGTGAGCTGATAATTTTTGTAAAGAGATCTTAAGTCTGTTCAAGACTGTTTATAATAATCTTATAATAATCTAAGTTGAATGTTGTACACTTAAAAAAAATCCATATACCCATTGGGCTTCTGACCGAAATGGACTGGCTCAGGAACCTCTATCTCCTAACATCAACTTTTAATTTACTTTCCCCTGTCCAAGTAATCTTATGTGACACCTTCACTACCTCCCATCTCTAGAACGTTACTGCCTGGTTCTTTGCTCTTTCTCTCTTCCAATCATGAGCACTATTTCTGAGTTTCCTTCCTCTGACTTGTTGGACTTTAAAATCACCAAATATTAGAGTTAAAAGGGATCTTGAACGGTCACTTGAGAAGTGATCTGCCTAAGACTGCACATATGATTTCTAGTTCATTTTACCAGGATATTCAAAGACATGATGTTTTTGTTAATCATGCCCATGACTCTTCTCTCTAAATCCCTGAATCCTTGTGGGACCTTTAGGAAGAGGAGGTAGCCCCAGGAGCTGAGACCCGATAGATGTACCATCTCCTTCAGTCAAGGCCGTATGAGTTCTAGACGTCAGCCAGAGCGTCAGAAGACCTAGGCTCCCTTCATGACTATATCTCTACTGGTTCTGTGGCCCCGAACTAGTGGCTTTGCTGGGAGGTCGCAGATTTCTCCTCCCTCCCATAAGGATACTTGGCGAGAGGATGTCTGTGGTTCCTTTTAATTCTGATTACCTGTCCTGGGTACTTCACAAGACCCAATTACGGGTTGTGTTATACTTTGGTCACTCCTTTAAGATGCCTTCCATTATCTTTGTATTTTTTGGCCATGCCACGTGGCATGTGGGATCTTAGTGCCCCGACCAGCGATTGAACCCGTGCCCCCTGCAGTGGAAGCACAGAGACTTAACTGCTGGACCACCAGGGAAGTCCCTAAGATGCCTTCCACGTGCACCCCTTTGTCCCAACTTCCAAGTCTCGGGCAGAGGATGGCTCACCCACCCAACTCAGGAAGGATGGCAGCCATGAACATGTGCTCGGAGCTCCACGTGAGGTGGAGGTGGGAAATGTACTTTGTTCTACTCACGGAAGGTGGCTTAGCTGCTCAGGCAGTGAATTAGGAGAGTAAAATTTAAATCCAAAGAGTCGCCTAAACTAGACAGAAGAAAAGAATTTAAAGAACACTAATATATCAGGAAATTTGGGAGTTGGGACTGACTCTTAAAAAGAAAGTGGTGAATTCTGAATCTTTTTAAGGGTGGACAGGAGATGTCTCATTCTTGGGCCCAGTTGCCTCCTCTTAGCAACTCCTCCACGTGTGGCCTGGTCTTACCTCGGACTGGGTTCCACAATAGGACTTGTTTTTAGGTGACAAATCTGGGATGACAAATAGGTAGTAACCTGCTTCGTGGACCCCATTGTAACATAGCCCGCCAAGCGCCAGCTGGTGCACTTCCCATCCATAGGGACACTCTGGGATTTTGGCGATGATTGTTTTCGGGTAACAAAACACAAGAATGACATCTGGAAAGAGGAGAGACCTGGTCTGAAATCAGATCTGGTAACATCTACATATGGTGGGCTCCTGTTACAGCTGAGCATGCAAAGCAGTTAGTTAAAAATACTTTCCCCACTCTTCTTCATGAGCTGTGACGAAAGTTTTCCCCCAACTTCAGTCACTGAAGTTCCACTTTTACAGTTTTTGAAACCTCTGTGTAATATCTGCATTATTCTTAATATGTATTCAAAATTGGTCCCCTTTTAAGCTTTAACTTATTTTAAGGAATGTATTTTTGAAACCAGATTCAATGTATTTTCATATTTATATTTCCAATATATATATATTTTTCCGATCCATTCAATCTGGTTTCATATATATATGAACATCCCATGTAATAAGCCTATAAAATTTAAAATGTCCATTTATGCACAATGCCATGAAACAGTAATTTATGGCACAGGACAGAAAAGCAGTAGTCAAATAGAAAATGGGAAAAAAATGTGTGAAGATTTTATCTATTTGTTCATCTATTTAGCAGCCTCTAATTTTTAAAAAGTGTAACTTTACCCAATAGATTTGTACTTTCTGTGGGAAAAACCGGATGGGCGTTGGGGTGCTTAAGCGCTTCTTCTTGGCTGCAGTATTGCATTTTCCTAACAATAGAAGCACAGGGCTATGAACTCTGCGAAGGGAAGTGCCAGGAAAAGTTCCTTTCCAGGAAAATGGGCTACAGCACCAGAGCATACCTGCTTTATTTGGAGCGCAAGATCTCGCAGAGGCTTCTGCAAAGACAGCCAACAGGACGAAGGCCCTCATCACCATTGCTTTTGCCAGGTGGCCAAGTCAAGCTGGCCAAACGTTCACGGTCCTGACAGGGCCCGAGCCTCGATCATTCTAGGTCAGAAACACGAGCGAGAAATTAAAATCAAGGGTGAGAACAAAGCAGCACATACAGAGGAGATGGATCACGCGTCTCGTTTCTAACGGCTCTTCGTCTGCGTTGGGAGGCAAAACATGGGGCTCATACCACAGAGAGTGTCAATTTCACACGCGGCTGCTCGAGTTCCCGACTGTTTCATTCTCTCCGGCTGGAGGCTGCCTCTCAGATGCTCCCCAAATCTCTGTTCCCAGTCCTAGCTCGACTTTATATAAGCAGAGGGTGTAAAAGAAACCGGCTCCAGATAAACCACAATGAACATGCATTATCCACTGTGGGGAGGAAATAAAAGGCAACCTTGCACGATAATCCGATGGGAAGCTCAGTTACGGCCACTTGAGGCTAATTTCTTTTACTTCACAGAGCTGGAGAACCTTTTTTTTTTTTTTAACTGCTTTTTAAACCAGGGGTGGAATAAAAAGTTGAATTTTTTCCTCCTCATACAAAAATAACTCTGATTGGAGACAAACCAATTTCTGCATGGTTACAGGTGACAGTTTTCTTTTTTTACATCTTGCTTTCTTTGGTTTATTTCTTGCTTTCTTATTTTTATATGCAGGCTATCTAAACTGAATTTAGGAAGACAAGTTCAGCAGTGGTACACTGGATACTAAACAAAAAAAATAGGCTGTGTTCATGCAAACATGTTAAAGATTTTTTTCTCTAATATCTTATAATAAGCTCCAAACTTCTAGAGTTTCATCTTGAAGTTCATCAGAACTTCATTCGGAAATACAACTTTTGATTGTAGACCCCCTAGGTTTCTAAAGTTTTTTTAGTCTCCCAGAGCGGTGATATTGGGAGAAGGAACTTAGAAAGGCAATCTTTCTTTAAAAAAATTTTTATTTGTTATGGAAGTATAGTTGATTTACAATGTTGTGTTAGTTTCTGGAGTACAGCAAAATGATTCAGTTTTATGTATATATATATGTATATATATATATGTACATATATATGTATTCTTTTTCATATTATTTTCCATTATGGTTTATTATTGAATATAGTTCCCTGTGCCAGATGGTAGGATCTTGTTGTTTACCTATTTTATATGTAGTAGTGTGTATCTGTTAGTCCCAGACTCCTAATTTATGTCCCCTACACCCCCTTTTCCCTTCAGGCAGCACAAGTTTATTTTCTATGTCTGTGTGTCTGTTTCTGTTTTGTAAATAACTGGTATCATATTTCGGATTCCACATATAAGTGGTATCATATGGTATTTGTCTTTCTCAGAGAGGCAATCTTATGATTCAATTCTTAGTCACCAAACAAGATCCCACCAAAAACAGCAGATAAAATGCGGCTCCTGGGAAGTTTCCAAATATATTCCCTAGGAATTTTTAGTACCCAGAAATTTAAGAATGAAAAATAAGGGCTCCTTTTAGTTTTGTTTTTTAGAGGAAATGGACTCTTTTGTCAACCAACTGAGAGCATTTGGTACAGAAGCCACTACATTACGCTTTTTGAGAGACATGTAAAAAGTGTAGAAAAATACCCTGCTTGTGGGAGTTTATAATGTAGCTGAGAAGGTAAATTGTACACAGTGACTCAGAGTTAGAATGCCATGTTAAGTCACTGTTCCGCTACTGACCACATTTTCTTAGGTTTAAGATACATGTCTCTCTCTCCAAGTGCATATAATTTAATGTCTCAGAAACGTTGGGATGTGTCTTATAAGCAATATGTATACACAGTATGGTAGTCTCCTTATATCCTCAAAACCTATTGTTAAATCAATGGCATGCCTTACAACGATGATATTTAAGAACTAAGGAAATAGCCATATGGCAAACCACGAAAGATTTCTGTGACTCACTTTCCTTCTCTGTAAATGGAAGCCACAGCCCTGAACTCACCTCACGGGGTGGGAGAGCAATGATGTGAAGGCTCTTGTAAACTGTAAAGTGCTAGGTAAAGAAACAGATCACACGAAGAGACAACTAACAATTTCTGGCAACATGTATGTGTCCCTGAGTTGTTTTTCTTTTCCTCGGAAGTACCACGAACTGCCCATTGTAGATTCATGCTACATGAGACATATCTATATTGTGTAACACACATGCAATGAATATATTTTATAGATAAAGACCAAATGGGCTGGAGAGGGGAAGAAGAGGAAACATTAATTTTTTTAATGCTAGGATCAAGTTTAGTGTGACCTGGAAGTATCAGCACGTTTATACTGGTCTCCACAACTCATTAGAGGCATTACTTCCTGAGCAGAAAATGGCGCTTGAATTTCACAAGCATGCATAACTTCTGAGTTTCTCTTTCCTAGGGCTTAGCACTAACTCTGAGCTTCTTCCTCCGTACACTTTTTTAAACATATATTAAGTCCCTACAGTATACCAGGGACAAGGCCCTGGGAAGACACAGGCAAATCAGCAGAACTAGGAACTGGGTGGGTGGGTGCGGGATGCACGGAAAAATAGAAATCTGTACCGGGAACGCAGGATGGGGGGAGGAGGGAAAAGGGAGAGTCGACATGCTTGACAGGGGAAGCAACAGGTAAGCCGAGTCACGGAGGCCTCATGCCCTAATTTCATAAGGATGGCCTCTCTGATTTGACACAAATGTTATGCATCACTGATAATTCAGCATTGGTCTTCCATGTATGTTAGGATACTTGTTTCTATTTCAAGAAGATTCTTTTCACCCATCTTCAAATACGTCCTTCTTTTCAGCCAACCTTGGTCCAGGGGCGTCAATAGGATCATCTTGACTCTGACCTGGAAGGGCAGAGTTCATTCATGAAAAGGGTTGCAGGGGAACTAAAAGCCTTCCCTCTCTCTCAGTGGAAATGTCTGATGGATGCCTACAAGGTGCCGGGCAGATAGATACTGAAGTTGGCCTGGGAATCAAAAGCCCACCTCTATCCCTTACTAGCTTGTGTACACTTGGGCAAGTTACTTAGCTTCTGTGAGCCTTTATTTCCTCCTTTCCTGAAAGGATATGATCATATCTATGATATAATGTTACTAGGAGTATTAAATGAAGTGTAAATTGGTTTGCATAGAGTAGCTTATTTTCTTCTATAGGAGCAGGACTTCAGGGAAGTCTTTTGTTTTATACTCAGTTCTGCTTGGAAGATCCAAAGAGGGCAGCCTATTAGGCGGGGGTTGTCACTAGATAGTATACATTAATGTCATCAGTGCTGAATTACGTCATAGGTAATTAAAAGCAAACGTTCTGGAATTAGAGGTTGTGGCTCTGTCACATTTCCAATTGTGGGATCTTGGCAAGTCACCTGACCTTTCCAAGCCTTCAGTTTCCAAATCTGTATAATCAGGCTTCCCATCTCCTATGGCTGTTGCAAGGACCTGGCACATAGTAAGTGCTCAATAAAGGTTCCCTAGTTTATTGGTCTAAGGTTGGTACCCTCAGGCTGGGAGGACGTGTTAGTCATGTTCCCATTTGAACTCGGGGCATTTTCTAATGGGAATATTTCTCTCCTTAGAAGCCCATCTTCCCAAAGAGCAGGTGCTTTTGATTTCTAAAGAAGCCCCTATAATGATAAGATCTTGCCTACAATTTCTCTGATTGTTACCCAGCTAACAATCAGGTACATGATACTCCTTTCAAAGGCAAGTTGAATAAAGTTGGGGAAGCGGAGTCAACTTTTGTGGCAGGCTAGTCTCTAGATGTGTAATTTGCATAAGAAACAGAATGGGACAAAATGTACTTGGGCCAAACAGTATTTGATACTTGCTCTGATAAAAGGTAGGAGGCTTCTATTATTTCCTTGGTAATTACCCACCACTTCACTGCCCCACCTCATCCCCTTTCTGCTTTTCACCACTCCTCTCCCTTCCTGAGATGGTGGGGTAGGAGGGGTGCCGCTGGGAGACGACCCAAAAGCCATGTCTCCCACTCAGTCCCGTGGCTACGTCTCTGTAAAACACAAACAAAACTGATGGGAAGATTTTTAAAACATCAGGATCTTGAAAGAGCCCGATAAACAGGGTTTTATGGCAAACTCATCTGAAAAATGAGTTTGTCTCTCATTGCATCTTTCTTTTGTGAATTGCCAGGCGTTAGAAGGTACCAGTTCTCTTCGAAGGTCTTGCACGGTTTGTGAAAGCTAGCCCAGATGCAAAAGGGTTGCCATTTGCAGAATTCCAATCAACTTTGTCATTCATAGCTCAGGAATCATACAGGTGATGAATCATGATGATAGACAAACCAGTAAACTCTTCCTGAGGTAACAGATGGTGGTCTGAAAATAAAGCTATAAGCATGCATTAAAATTTAAAAGCCTGCTTTAGTAACTTATTTTTTAAAGCGCACTGTTTCGAGTTCATTACACATTGGCTTTGTTAAATGGACTCCATTGTTTCCTTTAAGCCCTGAATCAAGCCTTCTACTTTGTGGGAGACCCTGTTTGCCAGTTTGCAGATGAGTGGGTGTTCCCTTGCAGGCTTCAATGGCCTACTCCTCCCAGCTCTCTGGAGAAAGTGATGTTCCCCTCATGGAAAATGCACTTCAGAAAGGAGAACTGAGAAGTGAGAAAAGACCCCTCTCCTGAGAGTGCATTTGAAATACAGAGCGAGAAGCTCCACCTCCCCCATCCCTCCGCAGACCCTGAGGCCACGAGTTCCCAGAGTGCCCCAGGCATACACACCGGCCTCTCCAGGCTTATCTGGCTAATCTCTGCACAGGGAATAAAGACTTGGCCTCTTTCTCTGAAGAGTAGGACCCATCAGCCCCTCCCTTTCCTGTCTTCTCCCCACCCTTCTCTCCTCCTCCAATCACAGGACTGAAGAATTAAAAATAGCTCCTACTCAGATCAAGGTTAGGAATCTCACAGCTGGTCTAAAACATTCAAGGTGAATCATTTGTTCTGTTCTTAAAACTTCCCAGAGTATCGTCCACTTATTCTTTCATCCATTTACTCATCCATTCATTCACCAAATATGTAATGAGTGTCTGTAAGGTACCAGGTAGTAATCAAA